TGCTTTCAATGAAGGTCTGTGATCTCATGGTCTCAGCTTCACGAAATGAGATGTGAACCCCAAACATTTTGAAATGCATTGGGTCAAGCGTTCTGAAAAAAGCGGGTTGCGGTCCGCTTTGTAAACGGTTGCGGTTGCGGGTGTAAAGGCCGTTAGTTGGTAACGGTTCGGTAACCGAAACCTGTGAATTTTTCTTATTTTCGCACAATTATTAAAAAAAATTTAACCGATACGCGATTATTTTTGTTGTCCAATGATCATATTTTATATTGGGTTTAAAAATAAATATTGATTCAATTTTTGTAAAATTTTAAGTATAAAATCCATATATTTCATATTTTAAATCATTATAAACTGAGTTTTTTTACATTTAATTTTAAATAATAACTTTATATTATAAAAAAAATCAATTACTAACTAATTATAATAAAGATAAATAATGACAAAAGTAAGAGAATAAATAGAACCTAAATATATAATATACATATTTTAACAAAACTAAATAGATAATGACCAGCACTTATTATTATTATTTTCAAACAATATATTAATAGACCACACACAAACAAAATGGTTTAAGTTGATAGCAAGCTTGAAATAGATATAGCAATAGGTCTTTACAAGTTTCAACCAATGAATTAAACATATTCTTCATCTCTCCCTCTTCTCTCTCTCTATCTCCGTTGCTCCTCCATTTTCTCTCCTTTATTTTCCCTCTTTCTCTCTTATCCTCTTCCCTATTTTCATTCCTTTTTTTTGTGTGTTTTTCATTTTAAAAGAAACGTTTGAAAACCGTTACGTTAGACGAGCGTAACAGGGCCAGTTACGACACGTTACGACCGCTATTGCGCTAGCCGCTTAACGGCCGACACGATTAACCTGTGATCCTCAATCACACTCAGAACCACTGAAAAGCGGCCGTAACGAGTGGCGGTAAAACGCCAAAACCGTTACGTAACGCGCGTTACGTAAACGGGTTGCGGTCGTTTTTTAAAAAACCATTGATTGGGCGTTCTTGGATTGTGTGCTTACTAATCGATTTGACTGTTATGATCTTTTCTATTTATTGATCCATATCTTCTTGTTATTGGGCCAAGACCATGGAAGATTAATCTCTCTGTCAACAGATTATTGTGATTCAATATTTTGACCTAAATACCCAAATGTAGGTAGAAAGGGGTAACTGCACTAATTCACCAACACAAGTGGTCCATGGGAATGCCACTCTGGACCATGACATCATATTCAGAGTTGGTAAGGTATTTGAGTTTACTCACCAATTAGAATTGAATAATATAGAATAGAAATTGGTGAATAAATATAATCGAAATTCTATATCATAATATATCGTATCGCTATATAATTGCTACGTTCTGTGATATTCAAGTTCTTGGTGAACTCTTTTTGGTTGCAGATTGTGAAGGCCAAAAGTTCACCGGTTCGGATTTTTCACTTGACGCATTTTTCTGTCATTAAAGGAAACAACGGTAATCTATGCCAAAATTTGTTTGCACTTAAATATCATTTTCAGATTAGGGAAAGTTTTTTTTTTACTATTTTAAATATTTTGCTTTTCCTCTCCTGTGGCAGCCAGATCCATTAATTGAAGGCCTTGGAAGCTGTTTGGTGATCATGATTCCTTAGATACTCTTCTAAATTTGTATAGTATCCATGTTGGACACTTGACGTTTGGATAAGGGTATAAGATATGTATTTGACATGCTTAGTTGGAGATTCACCCAAGAAGTATGTATAAATAGGCAAGTTTATTATATAACTATGCATAAAATTTTCATTTTGTACATACATTAAATGGTATATTTTAGTTTGTAAACATTATTTTATTCTTAAAAAATAAAAGATATATTTAAGAAATATGAAATATAGCCTTTTGTGGTGCCCTTGCCGTGAGAATGAGATGAATTCAATAAACATACCCGCACTTGACATTTTGTATCCGAGTCTAGATAACATAGCTCAGCTTATGCTTATGTTTAGCTTCCAAGAAACTTGTTTCTTGTCAGACTCTACTTTAACTTCTGGTAATCAATTTTTTGGCAGGTTTATACGGCATCCATGTTTGAGAATGAATAAAAGCTACTTGCCCGATCAGGAAACAGAGTGCAATAGGTAAAATCTCATAATCCTACCAAACTTGGCTTGACTTTCTATCATTGTTACATAGTAAAAACTTCAGTGTCTTTATCCTTGATCATGATCTACATTTTCTTCATATGTTCATTCGTTTAACTAGTTTGAAAGTGTTATTGAATCTCAAACTGATGAGTTATGTTACACAGACTCTTCTGAATGTATGAAGTATCATGTCAGACATTCAATACTTGGTTAAGATTGTGGAATGTGTCCTACAATCATTTGGAAAACATGTTTAGCAATTTGAGTTTAACATATAAGTTATAACTCTCTATAAAACTTTATACCATGCATTAGATGCTATATGAAACTTTGTATACACTATTTTACCCAAGAAAATTAAAGAAGTAAATTAAGAAATATAAATATTTTGTTGTCTCCCTATGTCTTGGACATGAGAACTAGGTAAATCCGACAGACATACTCACACACCTGATACCTATACCTGAGTCTATGAAACATAGCTGACGAGGATTATATACGTTCAATATTCTTTAAATAAAATTCAATGCATCAATATATTTTTTTGGGTGGGTACAATGCATCAATATATCAACCAAATGTAGTTTCCAAGTATATAATTCAAGTCTCTTGTGTTTCATGGTTCTAACTTTTACAAAAATTTCTTAGTTAAAGTGGATCCAGAAAAGAATCGATTTGATTGGCTATCTACTGCTTCTTGGTTTGTGTATATGTCTTCATTTTCCCAATTGGCCGTGTTGGATGGTGATCTATGTTGCTACCTTGAGATGGAGCCTTGATCTTGACAGACATCTCAGTGAAGGAAACAAAAAGGGAAGCAGTTATTCTTTGCTGAATTTTTTTTCATTTTTTTTGTCAAACCTATACAACTTTGTTCATATTGTGAATGAATCTGCTAATAATGTAATCATGATTTGTTTTTTTTTTTATTTCCATAGTAGATGTAATTGTACTGATAAGTTATATCAATTAATGAACTACAGTTTTGTCTTTTTTTTTTAAATTTCCATAGTAGATGTAATTGTACTGATAGGTTATATCAATTAATGAACTACATTTTTACTCTCTCATTCTCTCTGAGTCTTATAAGTAGATCTTAAGGTATAGTAATTTGTCCTGTTTGTGTCCATTTGATCTCAACTGTATTCAAATTGGTATTTCAAATTGTGAATTTATTTTGGGTATTTTTACTACACAATAGGCCTAATAGAGTGGTGATACACACCAATTATTTATTAGTGTATTAAAACATGCTATAATATTACAATTTCAAAACCATAAACTCCACTTATTATACAATTTATTGAAATAATTAAAGTTCAAAGCCAATAAAATTATGGAGTGTTTTGGAAAGTTAGTAAAAAATTGGCTTTTGGCTTTTTATCAAGCTTTTTGATTTTTTTAGAAGTGATTTGGGAAGTTAATAAAAAGTTGATTTTTTTACTTTTTAGTTTAATATTTTTTAAAAGCATTACATCACTCTAAAATGACCAAAATATTTTTATTTTTTGCATGTCAACATTTTTCTGAATTAATTAATTATAATGTCCTATAGGGTAGTTTGGTAAATTTGTAAGTAGTTTTTTTGGGTCTTCCCAAATACGTATAGTGGCGTTTTTGCAAGGGTGGTGTTTTGAAAAAATTGCTCAAAACGTGACGTTTTTAGAAAGTTGCCAAAACGGCATTATCTATTTGTAAATTAATTGATATGTCAATTAATATATATAACTTTATTTGGCCTAATAACTAGTCTCTTGTTAGGTGTCCTTATCTGGTTTTCGTACTGTTTTCTGGTCTGAAAATCATAAAAAATGATAATTGACATTGAAATTTTATTCGACAGATTATTTCTAAAGACGAGTTAATTTTTTAATTTTTTTTTAATTTAAATCCTCAATTTACAGGGAACTGTTTTTTACTCTTGAGAGCTGTTTTTGCATTCAATCTATATGAAAGCAATGGGTGATTTTGATAAAAAATAAATAAAAACAATATCAAGGAAACCTATGTAATAGCGTTGTAATGAGCTAAATAATAGATCGCTTAAATACCAAATCAAACAAGCCTTAATTTCATCAAATCGGATCGGCTAAGACCATCTCCAACGCTGAACCTAAATTGATATCAGATTTAAATGTTGGCCGCCATTTCATCAAAATCTACTATCGCGGGTTGTTTGATTCTTCAACTTCTCTTTCGCTGCTTTAGTACCAGATGGTGTGTTGATGGATTAAGATGGTTCTCGTGCAGACATTATTCTGGTTTTGATTGAAATGCATCGATTCTCCAGTTGGTGATTAGAACATGATAGATGTTGCTACTTTTTTTTGGATTGTTGTTCGAAATTCATCCCACTTTACAACTTCGGCGGCAAAATATCCCAACGATGTATCAAATGTTGAAGTGTTTTTCTTGTATTACATGATACATCCGCTTTGCTTCAGCGACCTACAAGAAAAATTACAACAATTTTAATAACAAATACATGTTTTACAGAAGAAATTTGATATTTAATAACACAAATAAATGTTACCATGTCTGCCTCAAGTCGTTCCACTTTGTTTGCCTCAGTTTTGTTTGTTTCAAGAAAACCACAGAATTTATTAATTGCCTTTTGCATGGCAGACAACGGTGAGACAGAAATACGGTTTCGATTTGATTCACCACTCAATTTGTGAATTAAATTAACAAGTACTGCTTCCCAAATATACCATGTCTGACTATTACAGTAATGGGTCTTGAGAGACTTGCTAGACCAAGGATCTACATAAAGTTTCATCGTCTATATTGTAAATGCTTTCCACGAGAAACACGAGAAGTCATGAAATGAAATGATTATCAACTGCTCTGGTGTTCTGTTCGCGAAGTTTCCGGACATAAAATAATATCAGTGTTGTCTTGAAACATTTGTGATTCTTCAAACATTTGGAAATTGGCCATCACTTAAAAAAAAATACAGTACATACAGATATGTAAAATTATAAAAATATTAGAATTGATAATACAATATAATTAAAGTTTCAATGGAGAAAAATCACAGAAGAAAAAAATTCACACATTACAATATAATGTCTTCTCAAATAAAAAGGATCTGTCATTCTTGATATACAACTGATATATTTTATAGCACACATTATCAACGGTAATTTTAAAAAACTCTGTTGATGCAAACGGTAAATTAATTAAAACGGTATTTTTAAAAGCACAATGATTATATGAGCGGCAATATTTCAAAAGACTCTGTCCATTCAACGGTGTAATTTACTGAAACCCACTAATTTTTAAAAAATATTTAATATAAAAGGTACCAAAAAAAAAAACAAAATTTGAATTATTTTTCAATGAAATATACAATTTATACTTCACCCTTACAATTAGTTCAAATTATTCCAAGTCCCACATATTGTAATGTTAAAAGCCTAACCTGTCAAACCAAACCTGTAGATGCGAATGACCGGCGCGCCGGATGGTCAACCAGGGCTCGGTCAACGCGCCGGTTGACGGTTTTCCCCAGGCCACCCGACCAGTTCAAACCCAGTTCATGCCAGTTCAAACACATCACAGTCCAACACCCGTCGGCCTAATCTCATGAACGTTGACCCGGTTGGTCACCAGCGGGCAACCGGCCGGGCAAAGATGTATCTCATTCAACGGTCAGTAACAGTGGGGGGGGGGGTGTTGGTAAAATGCAGAACTTGTTTTCAGTTTGATTACTATTTTTTGCTGATTTCTCATTTTGATATTCATCTGATGAACGGTTGGAGCATGGAAAATTAAATTTTTCATCAAA